TTCTTGGTAAACGGGTGCAGTGATGTTGGTTTTCAAAAAACACAATGGACCGACACCAGCAGATGACATTGCACCCCAAATCGTCACAGACTGTGGAAACTTAACACTGGATTTCAAGCAACTTGGGCTATGAGCTTCTCCACCCTTCCTCCAGACTCTAGGACCTTGGTTTCCAAATGAAATATAAAACTTGCTCTCATCTGAAAAGAGGACTTTGGACCACTGGGCAACAGTCCAGTTCTTCTTCTCCTTAGCCCAGGTAAGATGCCTCTGACGTTGTCTGTGGTTCAGGAGTGGCTTAACAAGAGGAATACGACAACTGTAGCCAAATTCCTTGACACGTCTATGTGGAGTGGCTCTTGATGCCTTGACCCCAGCCATAGTCCATTCCTTGTGAAGTTCACTAAAATTCTTGAATCGATTTTGCTTGACAATCCTCATAAGGCTGCGGTTCTCTCGGTTGGTTGTGCATCTTTTTCTTCCACACTTTTTCCTTCCACTCAACTTTCTGTTAACATGCTTGGATACAGCACTCTGTGAACAGCCAGTTCGTACGTGTTTGGCTTTGAACTGGTAAGTCAATGCGGCACATAATAAATTATTGGTTATGCTCCCCGGATAGGTTGTTAATGTTTTTTTTTTGTGGTGTTTTCCTGGGTTGAGTGCACGGCCGTGGTTGTAGATCTGGACCGGCAGTTCAGCTTTGCACCAGTGGTATTAGATGCTTAAAGAGGCTCGACTCTTGGGAAAGCACAGAAGAGTTAGGGTTGAGTTATATAGTGGGGGTATGGGATAGTTAGGGGGAGATTTGATTGTGAGCCGAGATTGCTTATCGTGTCTGATGTTAGAAAATTATGTGATATTAATTGTCACTACTGCGCTTAGTTGAAAATTAAGTCCAATTTCTTAGGTATGACTTTGTTAGAAGAATCTGTTAGTTCCCCGTCAGAAGAAACAATTAATTTGTGTTCGAAGCAGAAGTTATGGGGGATTGTAGAGAGTTATAAATTGGTTGGGATCGATAAACTCTTGCGAAAAGACGAGTTGAGAGTGCTGATTAAAGGGAAGTTGGTTGATTGTGGCATGCTGATGGAGGTGTCCAAAACGGCTGATATAGAGGTAGGGAAGTTTGATTTTTCTATGAGTAAATTATCATTTGAACAACTAAAATAAATATTGGAGTTAAGACAGGCTCATGAAAAAGAAATGTATAGGCAAGCTACGGAATGTGAGAGAGAGCTAAAAGAAAAGGAAACTGAGTTAGCAAAACTGAGGGCTGAGTATTTGGTGAAGCAGCGAAAGCAGGAAATTGAAAAGAAATTGAATATGAAAAATTTACAAATAGAACGACTGAAATTTATGACTGATGGAAGACTGTCTGCAGATGGTGTTAGAGAACGCGATCGGTCTGGGGAACTAGTAAGTAATTTGAAGTTGCTACCGAAGTTTAATGAAAAACTTTTTTTTTATAAAAAATTGTTTTCGTTATTTGAGAGTGTGACTGATGAACTGGTTTGGCCTAGCACTGACCGGACAATTATGCTGCGGTCAGTGTTAGTTGGTAGAGCTCAAGAAGCCTATACTGTGCTTTCAGGGGAGGTTGCTGCAGTTCTTACAGCTTTTGAACTGGTCCCAGAGGCATATCGATTAAGTTTTCGCACTTGAAAAAAAATGACCGACAAACCCATGTTGAAGTTCTTTGTGAATTAACTACTCATTTTGACTGCTGATGTTCTACTTCCAATGTAAGTTCATTTGAGGGCCTGCAAAAATTGATTCTCATTGAGCAGTTTAAAAGTATTGTTCCAGAAAATATCACCACCTATATTAATGAGAACAAGCCTAGGACTGCTGGGGAGACTGCAGTGTTAGCTGATGATTTTGTGGTAACGCACAAAAATAGGGTAGGTGACTATAGATTGAATAGGGGTAGGAATAATAGTGTGGGTTTCTTGAGACCTTAATCTTCAGAAACCTGATTTATTAAAAGCAGATAAAGTGCCAAATGTACCTCCAAGAGCTGTTCCTGATTCTATGTGCCGTTATTGTTTTGAAGAAGGGCATTGGAAAAAAGAATGTCCTGTCCTCAAAAGTAAACAAATGCATGGTAAAGGTTTGTTAAGATCGCAAAATGTTTCCTCTCCAGTATTATTGACTGGTTTTGTTCGTCCCAAGCTTTGTCCTGATGAGAAACCATTGCGGGTTGTCCCGCAGAATGAATGTTTGCTGGGATTAAACCAGAGTTATATTCTGTTTGTGACGGAGGGGTTACCCATTGTTGCTTCGCTGTCTACAGTCAGTCCGGTCGATGATGCTGCCGAGGAATTTTCAAATATGTTTCCATCGTGTGCTGTGACTCGGTCTAAAACTAAAGCAGCTAATGAGTTTATGCATGGAGAGTTCGAGGAGGCTCCTTGGCAGAAGTCCTGTAATTATGTTGTTTCTGGTCTTTCTCTTCTCCCCACTTTTTCCCATGCAGAGTTAACAGCTGCGCAGCAGGAGGACCCGATGTTGTCCCAGTTATTTAGCGCTGTTTTGTCTCCAGATGAGGCGCAAAGTGCAGCATTCAGGTATTTTCTACAAGATGGGATGCTGTTACGGAAATGGATGTCCCGGAGTGATGTCCGTGGGGATGAGTTGGTGGTACAGTTTGTATGTAGCGCATGGTCCCGTTGCGGTGCATCTGGGGGTTAAGAAAACTTAAGTTCAAATTTTGAGACATTTTTATTGGCCCTTGTTATAAAAGGATGTTTCTAAGTTTATCAAAACGTGTGACACTTTTGAGTCCATTCAGCCGATCTCCGGGTCTGGCGGTAACACTTTTAGCTGTAGCTTAGCATAGATCATTGAATCTGATTAGACCGTTAGCATCTCGCTCAAAAATGACCAAAGAGTTTCTATATTTTTTTCATCAGGCGCTGCGTAAAATCATTGCGCCTGCTGCACCCATGGTACGACAGCAAAGTTCCTTGATTATTACGCCGGAATGATAGTATAGTTCCTAGTCATATCGGCCTAGAAAATCGCAACTTTTCATTTTCCGTCGGTCTTAGTACACAATGTAACTACAGAAGTGTCAAGTTTTAAATAGAAAAAAATATAGAAACTCTTTGGTCATTTTTGAGCAAGATGGTAATGGTCTAATCAGATTCAATGATCTATGCTAAGCTACAGCTAAAAGTGCTACCGCCAGACCCGGAGATCGGCTGAATGGATTCGAAAACGGTAAAACTCAACTGTTTAACTCTAGGGGAGTTGGAAAATGAGCCTATTTTCAGAAATAGTGGAGTGTTCCTTTAATATTTTGACTTTAGTTTTTGGTGATGTGTTATTAATTTCATATTATTGTTTATAGTGATCATGTGAGAGAGCATGTTAGCATTAAGCTGTGATAGAAGAACATTTAAATTTTTACATGAAAAATGTTCAACAGCGGTGACATGATTCATGCTGCAATGCATTCTGGGTACACTAGAGAAAACTTGGGAGTTATGGTTGAGTTTTCTCTAGTGTACCCAGAATGCATTGCAGCATGAATCATGTCACCGCTGTTGAACATTTTTCAAATGCTGTTGAAATTCATATGCTGATTCTTGATGTCTGTCTGTGTCTTAAAAGATTCAAATATTCAAATTGTTTTGTGTTCAATGTGTTATGAGACAACTGTGAAAGGCATGGCAGCACAGAGTGCCAAATGTTTACTATTAATAAAAATAATGGTTAAAGAAAAAAATTCTGAATTGATATCCTAATTTTTCCTAAATGTTTTACACAAAATGCTGTTATTTCATAAGTAATTCACAGATTATTATTTTGAAACCCTTTCTGTAAAATGTAAATATCATGCAGTTAACCATTAGCTAATATCAGCAGCTACACAGTTACTGCTTTTAAATAAAGCAACATGCAGCAAAACATCAAGATAATTAAATTATTAATCAAGTGATGGTTTACCATTTGTGATGACGCCTACTGTTCACAACCAGAATTACACTGGTCGTGAAAAAACAACAACAACAACAACTGTGAAATGCATGACAAAATGAGACGAGCAGAAACACAATAAATACAACCGACTTCCAGCCACAGCTTTAGACGAAATCAACGGGAATAAAATAAGACATTAAATCTCTCAAGATCTGATTAAACAACTCCACAAAGAGCATTACCAGCTTCACTTATTAATAACCAGATTGACTTGATTGCTGTCAGCTGTTTACAGACATTCTTTATGAGAATTACAGAGGTTTATATGTTGATGTTGTATTGTTTTTTTATTCTAATCTAATCACCATTCAGGTAAAAGTTTGCAAAAAGTATATAATAAATATAATATACACAGTACACAAGCATATATTATCTAAACACGATTAATCGTTTGACAGCACTAGTAGCCTTTATCGGCCAATGATGTTTCAATAGCACCGTTCATCCCTAGTAACAAATTATGCGTGTGTCACGGTCCAGGTGTGTGGAGGCAGGCAGGATGACGAGGACGACAAGGATTCAAACAAGGATCTTTAATGTAGAGGCAACAAGGCAGAAAGTCGTTTGTGTGGTCCTCAAGAGAGCGTTCCCCCTGCTCCAGCTGGAGGATTTCGAATGCGGGGTAATCCATAATAAAAATAAAAACTGACAAAAACTGGAAAAAACAAATGAGGGGAAAGAGACAACAAGGCAGATTCGGGTAGAGGAGACACACACACACACACACACACACACACACTCGGGGTAACATTCACAATAACCGACAAACTCAAATACCAGAGACAGGAACAGATATAGTGCAGATAACGAGGGGCAGACAGGTGAGCACAATGAGGTGATTAACTAATGATTATACGGGCTAAACCAACACAAGGGGAAGAAACCACAACAAACAGTCCACAGGGGTATTACAGCGTGACACATGTGCAAAGATTATTGAGTAATGCCCAGGAGAATGAGGGGAATGCCTGGTCTAATAAAAAAAAAGACAAAATTATTTTGCCAAATTATTTTATCAGTTATATAACTTAACCAAATGTAGTGCTCTTCTTGTCAGAGATTTGGATTTTTGGCCAGCAGTTTACTTGATGAACAGTTGACTTCCCAGGCTGGAATTCACACAGTGCCATTGGATTCACCCATTTCAGTTAACGCATTAGATGGTAAATTCCTGGCACAGAACACTCATCGTACTGTTCCTCTACTTCTGGTTCTCTCTGGTAATCATCATGAGTACATTCAACTGAACATTATTTCCTCTCCACTTCTCCTCTGGTTTTAGGACACACATGGTTGAGACTTCATAATCCACATATTGACTGGTCTTCAGGAAAGGTGATGAACTGAAGTTTACCCAGCCATTCTTCCTATCTGCAGTCTGCCCTTCCACCAGCTGAGGATGCTGTAGCTGTTTCCATCCCAGAACCTCCTGATCTGTCTCCTTCTGAATACCATGACCTTGGTGCTGTCTTTAGTAAGGATCAGGCCCTGACCTTGCCACCCCACCGTCCATATGACTGCTCAATAGATCTGTTTTCTGGAACTCCTCTGCCTTCCCTTTCAGCAACTCAGCTTTTGATCTCCTTCATGGAGCCACAGTTTTCACTAAGCCGGACTTGCATAATGCTTACCATCTGGTCCGAATAAAAGAAGGGGATTAATGTAAGACCATTTTTAACATGCCCCTTGGACATTTTGAATATCTGGTGATGCCATTGGACTTACAAATGCTCCAGCAGTGTTCCAAGCTTTGGACGATGTCCTCAGGGACTTTCTCAACCACTTCATATTTGATATATCTGGATTACATTCTACTTTTCTCCCACACCATCTCTGAACATATCAGTCATGTTCGTCTAGTTCTGCAAAGGCTTCTCGAAAGCAAACTGTTTGTGAAAGCGGAGAAGTGTGAATTTTATGTCAGTTCTGTAAACTTCTTGGGATATGTAATTGAGGGCGGGCAGGTGAAGAAGGATCCAGAGAAGAACTGGGCAGTGACAGAATGGCCAAAACCTACCACCCTTAAACAGCTGTAATTATTTTTGGGCTTTTTGCCGTTTTATTAGGGATTATAGCCATGTGGCAGCTCCTCTCACCAGACTCTCTTCCTCCACCCATTTTGTGTGGACACAGGAGCCGAATAACCGTTCATCTCAGTTCCTGTGCTTATTCAGCCAGATCCATCTCGGCAGTTCATCGTGGAAGTGGATGCCTCTGACTCTGGTGTAGGAGCTATTCTGTCCCAGTGTTCTGATACTGATCAGAAGCTACATCCTTGTGCCTTTTTTTCTTGTCACTTGAGCACTGCTGAACGTAACTATGATGTGGGAAACCGGGAATTATTGACAGTGAAGTTAGCCTTGGAACACTGGAGACATTGGCTTGAGGGAAGTGAACAGCAATTTTTGGTATGGACTGACCATAAAAACCTAGCCTACATACAAACTGTTTAGTGTCTAATTTCTAGACAAGCACATTGGGCCCTATTTTTAGTCGCTTCAATTTTACTCTTACTTACTGCCCTGGCACAGAGAATGTTAAACCAGATGCACTTTCACAACTATTTACTCCAGAAGAGGACCCACCAAGCCCTGAAACCATTCTCCCTCCTTCCTGTGTGGTTGGCGCCATCACTTGGGAAATTGAGTCAGTGATTCGGGAGGTTCAACGCACCCAACCCGATCCAGGCAATGGGCCTCCTGGACGTTTGTTTTTCCCCAATGCTGTTCGTTCCCAAGTCCTCCAGTGGGCACGTGCATCCCAGTATGCTTGGCACCCTGGTTCTAGTCGCACTCTTAACCTCCTTAAACGACATTTCTGGTGGGGCACTATGGACAAGGATACTCGAGAATTTGTCAATGGCTGCTCTGTGTGTGCATGTGGGAAAACTTCACATCTCCCCCCGGCTGGTTTGCTTCGTCTTTTACCTATTCCCAGCCGCCCCTGGTCACATATTGCTCTTGATTTTATTACTGTACTGCCTACCTCACAAGGCAACAACACTATCCTTACTATTATGAACTGTTTCTCTAAAGCAGTGCATTTTGTGGCTCTCCCTAAATTGCCCACAGCTCATGAGACCACTGACCTCCTTGTCCAGCATGATTTCCGGCTTCATGGCATCCCTCTAGATATTGTCTCAGACCGTGGGCCCCAATTTGCATCTCCGGTTTGGAAAGCCTTCTGCCATGTGCTTGGTGCTACTGTAAGTTTGTCTTCTGGCTTTCATCCTCAGTCTAATGGGCAAGCAGAGCAGGCTAACCAGGAGTTGGAAGCAGCATTACAGTGTGTGGCTATAAATAATCCTTCGTCTCGGAGTACTCACCTCACTTGGATTGAATATGCTCACAATTCCCTGTCCAGCTCAGCTACTGGTATGTCTCCATTTGAGTGTTCTTTGGGATATTTGCCTTCTTTGTTTCCAGTACAGGAGAATGACATTGCTGTTCCATCAGTTCAAGTCCACATCCATCACTGTCGTAAGATCTGGAGGGAAGCCCGGTCTGCCCTGCTCCATTCAGCTAATCGTAATCGCCACCATGCTGACCGTCGTCGAATCCCTGCACCCATTTATCAACCAGATCAGAAAGTTTGGCTTTCTTCTAAAGACATTCCTTTAAAGACAGATTCTAAGAAACTCTCTCCTCGCTGCCTTGGCCCTTTTGAAATTGTAAGAGTCATCAACCCCTCAGTTGTCAGACTCAAACTGCCTAGAGCCATGAGAATGAATCTCTCATTTCATGTCTCTCAGTTAAAACCAGTTCAAGTCAGTCCACTTTGCCCTCTGACCAATCCCTCTCCTCCTGCCCGAGTTGTGGATGATAATCCTGTTTACACAGTGAGACGATTGCTGGATGTCCATCGTCGGGGACGAGTTCTGCAATACCTGGTGGATTGGGAGAGATATGGACCTGAGGAGCGGACTTGGGTGCCCCACTCATTCATCTTGGATCCCTCTCTTATTAGGGACTTCCATCAAGCCCATCCTAACAAGCCTGGCAGGTAGCCTGGAGGCTCCCATTGAGGGGGGGTACTGTCAGGGATTTGGATTTTTGGCCAGCTGTGTTTTTCCTTTTTGTGTGTCTGTGTTTGTGAGTTGGTGCATCCTGGGGCATGGCTATGCACTCCTTTCTTTGGCTGATTGTTAAATGTGAATCACCTACTGCCAATCAATTCATCTGCCTCCAGTATTTAAACCCTGGGTCTTCAGTCATTTTCTGCCAGATCATTCAGTCTGCCTATGTGGTACTGTGCTAAGGCCTCCCAGTGTATTTTGACAAGTTTTTGTGTCATGTGTTTTGTTGGAGTTCTAATTCTGTTTCTCCTGTGCTTTAGATCTCACTTCACCTGCATTCATCCTGCATTCTGCCTACCACGCCCAATCAACAAACTACTCACTCTGCTGTACCAACATATCTCTGGCCTGTTTGGTTTCCAGATCACCTCAGCCATCAATCTTCATATATATACAGTGGGGCAAAAAAGTATTTAGTCAGCCACCAATTGTGCAAGTTCTCCCACTTAAAAAGATGAGAGAGGCCTGTAATTTTCATCATAGGTATACCTCAACTATGAGAGACAAAATGAGAAAAAAAAATCCAGAAAATCACATTGTAGGATTTTTAAAGAATTAATTGGTACACAGGAACTAATGGAATAATTAAAGATAACTGAAAACAGGAGAACTGAATGAAAATTAAACAGAGTAGGTCAAATGATAAACCAGAAAGACTGAACCAAAACACAATGAAGCCATGACCAAAATGAATATAGCAAATATTGTGCAAATATCCCCTCTGGACATCACTTTTGGCCACTACTGTATATGCTGAAGGCTCACCACAGTAATAAACAGAGCAAAATATGTGCCATTGTTCATTGCAATATTTCCCTCTAGCTGTTAAGGGTTATGTTTTACATTTTAAATTAATATTTACACAAAATGTTTAAGTCATTATAATATTTAAGGCATTATAATCCCTTTCTTGTGATGTGTGTCTCCAGGTATTATTTTTAATTCATATTGACTCTCTAGCATAAATATATAATACATATATAATCAGGAGGTTGGGCATGTTTCTAACTCACAATAAATATGACTTTATAACCAAGAGAGAAGAGAGAATTGTCATCCTACAATTTGACAAGTATCTCATACACTTTTTGAACTATTCACCATGTACCTACTAATGTTTGCTCTTGCCTCAATTGGTAAGTCTTTTTAATATTGTTTAATTGTGCAATTAGGTTCAATTCATTAACCCTAGTTTATGCATTGGTTTCCATAAAGTAACATGAGCAAATATTTATTTATTTATTTGCAGAATCTAGGTTAATCTATCTGAATATTAATTAATAAATATACTATTGTTAATAGTACATTTCCATTAACTAATGTTAAAGTATACAGCATGAAATGTTAAACATGTATTAGTATATTTACAAATGAACATCGACCTATATTATTTCTGTCATGTATAATTTCTGTAATTTTAACACCTAGAGCAGGAATGTCCAATTTACAAATTTTGGAGGCCACTTGTAGAAATTGCTGGGTGACAAGGAACCATTGAATAAAATAAGCTGGTAGACCTAGTATACTTTATATATTTGGTCACATGATCATATCACCTGCATCAAAATAGTCATAATTGTTGTTCTTAAAGGTATAAATCAGGAATCTATGCAAATGACTATGCATTTAAGGGTTAATTAACTGACTAGAATAATCAAGGCTGATAGTAACCCATCTTACAGGGGACTTTCTCATAACTTTGGCTAATAATCAGGCCAGGTTCTCTCAAAGTTATGAACTAACGTTCCTCCAGTAATGTTAATAGAATATTTGTTCAATGTTATCTGATCTTTAATAATGCTGTCTAAAGTTTAGCACAAAAAAACGCTATTTATACATTGTTTGTTGAAGTTTTTTTTTGTCATGTTGGGAGAAAATGTTCTTAGAACGACATTTCTGGAACATCCTTTAAACATTTAAATGACTGCTAACTTTGAATGAATAAGGTTGTGTGTGCTGTTTTAAAAGAACATCCTTGTAACGTGGGAAAGTTTAATATCCTGTCCCATAGTTATTGTTCCTAACTTTTCTCTTAAATGTATGTAAAGCTTATGAAAGTGTTATTATGAAACACTTTTAAACAATGTTCATGAAATCACCACATTTTGTCATTAGTATTTGATGAATGTTCTTATAATGTGGGAGAAAACGTTTCCAGGTTACGTATGTAACCATGGCTCCCTGAGGAACGCTGCGTCTTGAAACTTTTTGGGAATGCCCCTGCGTGACGGCATTCTGAAGCACGTGTAAAATCCGTTCAATGGAGCAGAGAGACATCACGAGCGGGGTAGTAGATGCCAGGTCTAGGTTATAGAAGTGGACAAAAGTGTGCGGAGAGGACCAGCCCACTGCAGCACAAATGTCCTGCAAGGCCACACCCAAGTTGAAAGCCTTGGTGGCCGCCATACTCCTGGTCGAGTGCGCTCTGACCCCCATAGGTGACGAGAGGCCAGAGGACTCGTAGGCTAGTGAGATGGCCTCGACCACCCACCTACTCATAGTCTGCTTGGTCGCCGGAAATCCTTTCTTTGGCGGACCAAAGCAAACAAACAGCTGATCTGCCTAACGCCATGGGGCAGCTCTGTGTGCGTAAGCGTCCAGTGCTCGAACTGGACAGAGCAGATTAAGCCTTTCTTGGCTTAAATCCTGGAATGGAGGAGGACAGAGTGCCTGAAGTACTATGGGCCCTGGCGAAGAAGTGGGCACCTAAGGGACATACCCCCCCCTCGGGTAAACGAATGCCCTAACCATGCCTGGAGCAAATTCCAGGCATGAAACAGAAAGTGCCTGAAGATCCCCGATACTTTTAAGTGAGGAAATAGCGAGGAGAAAAATAGACTTGAGCGTGAGAAACTTGACTGGAACTTCTTCTATGCGTTCAAAGGGGGCATTGCATAAGCCCTCCAGAACCACAGCCAGGTCCCATGAGGGCACCTT